GCAGGGGAAAGAAACAGAGGGGAGGAAGACACACAAGGATGGGTCACTGTCCTGGTTTCAGCTGGGACAGAGTTAATTGTCTTCCTAGTAGCTGGTACAGTGCTATGTTTTTGAGTTAAGCGTGAGAAGAATGTTGATAACACTGATGTTTTCAGTTGTTGTTAAGTAATGTTTAGTCTAAATTCAAGGATTTTTCAGCTTCTGATGCCCAGCCAGCGAGAAAGCTGGAGGGGCTCAAGAAGTTGGCAGAGGACCCAGCCAGGGCAGCTGACCCAAAGTGGCCAGCGGGATATTCCATACTGTGTGGTGTCATGCCCAGTATATAAACTGGGGGTGTTGGCAGGGAGGGGCAGATCACTGCTCAGGAACTAACTGGGCATCGGTTGGCAAGTGGTGAGCAATTGCACTGTGCATTATTTGTATATTCCAATCTTTTTACTATTACTATTGTCATTTTATTAGTGCTGTCATTATCATTATTAGTTTCTTGTTTTCTGTTCTATTAAACCGTTCTTATCTCAACCCACAAGTTTTACTTCTTATCCTGATTTTCTCCCCCATCCCACTGGATGGGAGGGGGAGTGAGTGAGCAGCTGCATGGTGCTTAGTTGCTGGCTGGGGTAAAACCACAACAGTGACGAAGAGCAGGGCCAAGCTAATGCGTGTAAGTAAAATGCAATAGCATAAGGCCATCATCAGTACCTAATAATTTTGGTATCCATTTTTACTGCCTACATTTAAGATTTGGAAAGGACTTTGGCATGAGCATTCTGCCTATCACTGCTAAGCAGTTACAAATCATCTCATCTACAGACTGCTTAGACAGCTCTGTTTCCAAATACCTACAAGTCAGGCTGCCTCTCCTTCTCAAAGAGCAACTCAGCTCCTTCATTCTTTGAGCAATTGCTTCCCTGAAGAGAGCAAATTCTCACACTGTAGATATCTAGCATACTTAAGAAAAAACTCATATATCTAGCAATCAATTTATTGAGCACACTGAATAAAACAAGCTTCTGTTGAAGGAAAAAAAAAATCCATAAAGTGTATAAACAAATCTGGTATATCCAACACAAAAGAAGACAGCAGTACATACTCATATAAAATTGCAGAACAATATTCTCTTGAGAGAATAGATTACACCCAGTCATGAAGACATGGCAAATTCCCACAATATATTCAATTTTAACTTCCCTAAAGAGAAGATTCTTCAAGTTGTCTCAAAATTCACTTTTTCTGCAGTGCTATGAACTATAGCAGGACACTGGCTATTGTTTTTAAATCTGTTAACCATTTGGCACCATCATTGTTGTAATAGTAATTTCATGATGAGCAGTACAGCTGAAACCCATACAGCTCCAGAATGTCTTTTGAAAGTATCATAAAGAGAACAGGTGAAAAAGCTAGTAGTACTTTTTAACATCAAAAAGGAATTTTGCGAAGCCAAAGTAAGTGAGAATTCAGGAAAAACTGTAGGCTTAGATGAATACAGCTTGCAGTGCTGAAAGAAATAGTGTCTTTTGCAAACTGGAGAACTGACTGACAGTCTAGAGACTTTGCCTTCTATGGATGTATCATGCATACTTTCTTACAATTACCTTTGGCTTAAGATAGAATTCCTACAAATCCCTGTGCCTGAGGCAACCTTACACACCAAAATCACAGATTAGTAAGCTTTGTAAGTGGACTTACGTGAATCCCATTTATACCGTCTGAATTAGAAGATCATGCTGCTACAATCTCATTTTTTGTTGCCTGTGTTTGACAGGGTTTTGTTGCAAGCCTTTTTTTTTTTAGACAGCTTATATTCAGGAAGTTTAAGAACCTAACATGCTCCTCTTCTGTATCAAATTGATAAATCAAGGTACAGATAAATACCTCTAGAGCTTTACCAATTCTCAATATCTCTCTCTGGCTGTACAGATCATGTTCACAGCAAAAAGAAGGTAGCAAAACCAAAAGTGTGACACAAGACATTGCTGAGAGAAGACTAATCTTCATTTCTCCTTTAGTCCTGCAATTAATGTTAGGTTACTAACCCCATGAGGGATTACTCTTCTCCATGCAAAGCAGTAAATGGCTTTGGTAAGACTCTCTTAACACATCAACTCCTGCAGGAGTAGGATTTCATTTAAAAAAAATACTCAGTTGCTGATCCAACTAGTTCCAAATGCACAAATACAAATCAAAGTCTTTAGTCCTCCTGATTCATCAGTGAGTCTGTGCTGCTCTCCATAACTCAGCTTAAACAATAAGAAAGCGAACTAGCAATCTGGCGAGCTTACGTGTGCTATTCAGAATTCCACGGATACAAGCTTCACTCTGCTTTTACCAGGCAAAATCACAACTAGATAAGACACCTCTAAATATGTGAATATAATACAGAGCTTTTAAACAAATCTGAATGGAGAATGTTCAGAACTTAGGCAGACATCGTAATTGCCACACTGTGCTTACATATTTCACTGGCAATTTCCATGACTCCAAGCACATGCGCGTATCAAAAAGTTAAAGACTGTAAAACAATAAAGCAATACGTAGTTTGAGAAAACATAACTGTTCTTTTAAAAATCAGACAGATAGATGTTCCCAGGTACAGTTTTCTATAGTTCAGCCAGCTAGCTATCTAACAAATAACTGTATAATATGCAATGTTTTCAAGTGGACGAAATCATGGTAATCTTTAAAAACAGACCTGGAAAGACTCCGAGTCCTTTGTTCACTTCAAGGCTAATGACTAGCATCCGAGCTGTGATGCTAAAAATCTGTCGAGGTGCAAAGTTCAAACCATCTGTTACCTGAAAGTTGAAGCCTCCAGACATTGCTCCTGTAGAAAACAAAAACATGAATTTATTCTTGTATTATTCTGTTTGTCATCCAAAACATACAAACATACACTGGACACCTTCTGCTCTTAGCTACAGTGAAATATATCCAAAGTCATCCTGAAGCAATTTTTGATCAGTACCTTTGTATCTTAAATAGAATTAAATAAATTAATAATGTGGAGAACACCTTCTGAAGGAAGAACTACTGGCTGTTGTTTACACTGAAGGCCAGACATCCCTTAGATGTAAATCAGCAGAGTGCCCCTTCCTTCCTTTCTTCACTGACCCCAGTGGAGCTGAAACCAAGTTAAACTTGGGGAGACAATGACTCCCAGATTTCCTGCTCCTTTTATCTTAGGAGGGACCAAAGCCCTTAAGCAGTCACATTTTAGCAAAGAAGGAATCTGGGGAGAGAAACAACTAGAATGTTCTTTCATTTTGATTTACATTTAAAGGACTGAATCAACTCTCAGGTTGTTTCCTTTGCCTCTTCACTCTGCTTCAGCTTTCCTGAAGAGCGTATGTTGTCACAGCTTAAACTATTTCAGAGGTTATGTGTACTCATAATAAACACACATTTTTTTCTTTAATCTTAGGGCCTGTACGTACTTTGGCACAAGCTATAGCAAAATACCTCCAGGAGTCTGAGTGGATTCCTATAAAAATACGTCTCTCGGAACTGACTTTCTGCTTTAAGTAGAGGCTCCCCAGATTTTTTAATTAGGTAGAAAGAGAGAATGAAAAATTGAAACATTAATTGTTGCAAACCATTACCATTGCTCTTCTACTTGCTGTGCCCATTTTAGCCATGAGATACTGCTAGATGAATATATATCCTGAAAGTGAGAGAGTGCCATGTACTTTCATGTAAAGATCAGCACTCCTTGCCTAACTATAAATTAACATATCAGAAGAAGCAAATATGGGTTCTGAGATAATAGTTAACAACTCCCCTAGGCAATGCTCTTATATCCAGCCAGGCACTGAAGCACCTCTGGGACATCATATTGTTTTTATTTTAAAAGTTTTTATTCTCTGATGTTTTCTCTTGAAAAAAATGCACAAGTAGGTGTACATTTAAAAAGGCATTGAGGAGTCTACCCTTTGCCTCAGGTTGGAAAAAAAAGGCTTACTTAGCCTCACCTCATTTTTTGGCTAATGCAGGTCAACTGCTCGATTGACACAGACATTTTGTCATTGGCAGAGTCAGGAACAGAACTAAATCCTGAAGTGCTGCTTGGGTGGAGCATGTATTATTTTATCGCAATTAATTTTTAAAGGCATATCTGATCAGGGGTGATAAAAAGGACACCAGAAGGAGGATTGTAAAAATTGCACTGAAAAGACACTGAGACTTCAGAACCAACAAGACTTCAGCTCAGTACTGGCCTAAGGAAAACACTGGCAGGGTTTAAGGGCAAACCCCATACTGTGAAAACAGGATGGGAGCACCCTGGAGTGAAGCAAGGGTGGAAAAGGGAAGGAATTCTTGCACTGAAGGAGGAGTACAGAAAAGGAAAGGTATGTTCTGCTTCTGCATTTTCGCTGGTGACAGAACAATCAGGCATTATAGAGGAAACAAACACAAAATTTAAGGGAAAAACATGAGAACAATGAGATTTGCAACTCGCAGCACAGAATAAGCAGCATAATGCAACTCACAAGACTGAGCAAAGATGAAGGGAAAATTTTATGAGGTCTAATGTTAGAGGCATAAAAGCAAAGTATGGTAGTACTTCCTTTGGCAGTACAAAAGATCCCGAGGATGGAGAGTCACTGCCATGTACAGATGTAAAAGATCTGTGGTGCCATGAGGAACAGCCACGGGATGGAAGAGCTGGCTCAGCCAAGAAGATGCTGCTTTTCCCCTTGAAAAGGGCAAGAGTGAGTAGGAAGAGTATACGCCAGGCTGTAGAAACCATGAAGTGGGGGTACTTCCCAGGAGGAGCCAGAGAAGCTAGCAGACACTAGAAGACTGAAGACGAGGGACAGGGCAGCTGAAGAGAAAAGGGGTAAAAAACTGAATGACAGTAACCAGATAAGGAAAGGCCCCAGGACAAGGCTGGAGCAAGAAGGTGAGAGTAACAAGTACATTTCTAGCAACAGCCCAAAATGAAGGAAGAAAGAAAATCACAGAGTGAGAAAGGAAAAGAAAGAAAATGTCCAAAGTACTTTCTGAAACACTGGAGGCCGTGAGGCTGAGCATATGACAGAGCCAGAGCAGCTGCAAGAGCTGACACATGACCTGGGCAATTTTACATTTCAAATTTACTGTACAGCCCACACTCCCACTCACTGGAGAATGAAATTTGTTGTTCGTTTTACTTTTATTAATCAAGATTCACTTCCTAAGACTACAGATGTGCACTTGCCCTTTCTGGAACACAGAGTGGATTCATTTCCTCACGCTGAGACTACCACTGTCCTGCCACCATAGGGGTTTTTACAAGTCAAAGTCTCCCTTGGAAAAATTTCAACAGCTTGGCTCACTTTTGCCATGCTCTTGACCTTTCATTTCCTGTGCAAATTATTTGAGCAGGATACTTACAGGTCACCAGCAGCTGCTTGTAAAGCAATTTCAGCAACACATATGCACCCTACAAGACAGTGCATCGGAAGTCAGAGTGCTTTAACCTGCACCAAGCCTCATGAAGACACAGCATAGATCTGGAATGACTGCTACAGCCAAGGGAGTACTAGAAATAATTCCAGCCTGCGTTGGGGCTGGCAAGGGAGTGCTGCACCTCTACCATCTCCTTCCCCAAAACTGGTTTATTCCTTCTTTAGCACTTCCTTTCTTCTTTCAGCTGAGGTAACACAAAAATACAGTTAGAGCAGGAGAAAAGCAGCTATTGCCCTGTAAAAGGCCCACCTCTTCCTCTGGCTGGAACCCCACTGGGATGTTCATTCCTGCATCTTCCCAGCACTGCTACTCAAGGATGCATGAAGCTGCCCTGACTTCTTTTTTTTTATTGCCCACACATTCTGTCTGTAGCAGCAGCACAAATAACCCCATCTCTAGCTCTGGCCACTGGCAGAAAAAAAGAGACAATGGTTACAGCTGAATTCCTTCACAGCCTGAAAGGGAGGCTGACATCACACAGATGAGCCATAACTTCATTGCCCAGAGCTGCTCAGGAACACAAATATACTGCGGCAGGTATCTGAGAGACTGTTGGTCCCTGAATAGCTCTACACTGTAGCAAGACAGAAAGGCTTCAGGAGATTCTCAATGACAATGGTCAAAAAAATAGATTTCTTTCCTCTGAAAGCTGCATGGCAATGTTCCCCTACTGCAGACCTGTATTCAGAAAGAAGGCTGCTACCAGCTGAACCATCAATACACCAAGGATTCTTGGTGAGCACACATTTAAGTACTCGTCAGACCCTCTCCTATTTAGTTTGTGACATCATGTATCACATAACCGGTGCTCTGAGATTTTTGTGACATTACAAGGAGATCTTCAAAGGATGACAAACACAAATATACTGAATAGGAGCAGTATTTTGGTTAACAAATGTGGTATTTTTGAAACCACATACCATCATGTACAAATACCAGCTGTCCTTCAGTTATATGAGCCTGGGTAAAACTAAGGATGCTCTTGTTGGGAGAAGACTTCAGAGCCAAGTGCCCATTCCTAGGTGGAGTAATGGAATATATCAGTTCTGATGGTGAGGAGTCCTTGTCTTCCGCACAGAGGTCATCAATAGTTATTTCTGTGATTGAACCCACCCACACCTAGAAAAGCAAAAATAAAAAAATTATAGTATTAAAGAAAATGCATATAGGAGAAAATCAGGGGAAAAAAGAAAACTAAAAAAAAAAAAAAGAAAAGAAGAAAGATTTGTGCTGTGCAATACTAGCAGCTATGAGAAGTTTCCTTACTGTACATCCAAATCTCTAATGGACTGGAACAGTTCATGCTGGCAAATGGTTTTCAAAAAACAAGACCACAAAATAATACAAGTAAACACACCCTACACCAGTTTGAGTTTTAGAGAGCTGCAGCACGAGTGCTCTATTTGTCAGGCACTATCCAAACTCTTACAAACATAACAAAATTGTATTATGATAACTGAGTCAAGGAGCTCCTTTCCAACACATACACGTGAATATTAGTGTCATGTACTTCACAGCAGGCAAGGCATTCAATATGGTCTACTTTCACTAGCAGAAAAGAAAAAAGAAAACAGCCCAGGGACAGCACACTCTCCAAAATGGAACACTTCTTGTAGCTGCATCATTTCCTTCTAACAACATGCACTAAAGGCCCTTTTTTAGTGCACCAAACAACCCACAGAGGTGCTCAGTCCAGTGGGAGATGAAGGACTCAACACCTCCAACACCTGCTTAGCACTTTGCAAGGTCATGCTTCCAGACAAAACAGCTAACTAGTTTTTAGAAAGATTGTATAAAACCCATTACTTAACACTAGTAAATCTAAATGCATCTTTTTTTTTTTTTAGCTTAAGATATGCACAAACTACAAGATCCTTCTTTCAAGCAGAAAGGACTGCTGCGTGAGCTTCATCCATATCTTATTGGATAATTTGTTTGGAAAGGATAAGCAACAGCCCATTTTACTCTTCATCTTTATTATATCTACTTGGAATTACAGACAAAAGTACTAAGACTAACAAAGAACAATACATATTTATCTCAACCTCAAATGAAATTCCCAAATATTCAATACGATGACACCAATTCTTCCCATGCAGAATTTATATCATAGCATACAATCTTAAGAGCCTGAGCCTTTAAAAACCTCCGCTTCAGCTTCAAAACACATACTGCATCATCCCTTCCTGCCTTCCTAGGATCTTAGTACACTTAACAGGTATCTGGTAGTAACATTACACCAAACAGTTGAAGAGAGAACACAATCCTTGAAAAAGGGCATTTTACCTGTCCCAAAACCAAAAATCAGCAATCACAGATTTTTCCCTAAGTATTAATTTTACTTTTTAATAAAAACTATGGAAGAAAACCTTTTCAAGCCACTGGGATTTTTGCCACAACACTTCAAGAGAGGAAAGATTTCAGACTACATTGTGTCACAAAATATGTGCCATGGAAAAAGGGATACTAAAATGAAATTATATCATAGGATCATAGAATGGTTTGGGTTGGAAGGGACCTTAAAGATAGATCATCTAGTTCCAACCCCCCTGCCATAAGCAGGGACACCTTCCACTAGACCAGGTTGCTCAAAGCCCCATCCAACCTGGCCTTGAACACTTCCAGGGATGGGGCAGCCAGAACTTCTCTGGGCAACCTGTTCCAGTGTCCCACCACCCTCACAGCAAAGAATTTCTTCCTAATATCTAATCTAAATCCACCCTCTTTCAGTTTAAAACCATTACCCTCATCCTATCACTACACACCCTGATCCTGTAGGCCCCCTTTAAGCACTGGAAGGCAGCTATATAGTCTCCCTAGACACTGCTCTTCTCCAGGCTGAACAACCCCAACTCTCTCAGCCTGTCTTCACAGTAGAGGTGCTCCAGCCCTCTGATCATCTTTGTGGCCCTCCTCTGGACTCCCTCCAACAGGTCCACATCCTTCTTATGTTGGGGGCCCCAGAACTGAATGCAGTACTGCAGGTAGGGTCTCACAAGAAAGGAGTAAAAGGGGACAATCACCTCCCTTGACCTGCTGATTACACTTCTTTTGATGTAGCCCGGAATACAGTTGGCTTTCTGGGCTGTGAGCACACATTGCTGGCTCATACTCAGTTTTTCATCCACTAATATCCCCACGTCCTTCTCTGCAGGGCTGCTCTCAATCCACTCATTGCCCAGCCTGTATTTGTGCTTGGGATTGCCCCAACCCATGTGCAGGACCTTGCACTTGGCCCTGTTGAACTTCAAGAGGTTCACACGGGTCCACCTCTCAAGCCTGTCAACGTCCCTCTGGATGGCATACCTTCCCTCCAGCGTGTCAACCACACCACACAGCTTGGTGTCGTCAGCAACTTGCTGAGGTGCACTCAATCCTACTGTCCATGTCAATGACACAGATGTTAAACAGCACCGGTCCCAATACCGACCTCTGAGGAACACCACTCGTCACTGCTCTCCACTCAGATATCGAGCTGTTGACCACAACTCTCTGAATGCGACCATCCAGCCAATTCCTTATCCACAGAGTGGTCCATCCATCAAATCCATGTCTCTCCAATTTAGAGACAAGGGATGTCATGTGGGACACTGTCAAATGCTTTGCACAAGTCCAGGTAGATGGCATCCGTTGCTCTTCCTTTATCCGCTAACACAGCAACCCCGTTGTAGAAGACCACCAAATTTGTCAGGCACAATTTGCCCTGAGTGAAGCCATGTTGGCTGTCACCAATCACCTTCTTATTTTCTATGTGCCCTAGCATAGTTTCCAGGAGGATCCACTCCATGATCTTGCAGGGCAGAGAGGTGAGACTGACTGGCCTGTAGTTCCCTAGGTCTTCCTTTTTTCCCTTTTTAAAAATGGGGGTTATGTTTCCCCTTTTCCAGTCAGTGGGAACTTCACCGGACTGCCACAGCTTCTCAAATATGATGGATAATGGCTTAGCCACTTCCTCCGCCAGTTCCCTCAGGACCTGCAGATGCATCTCATCAAGTCCCATGGAATTGTGCACCTTCAGGTTCCTTAGATGGTCTCGAACCTGACTTTCTCCTATGGTGGGTGGTTCTTCATTCTCCCAGTCCCCACCTTTGCCTTCTGCGTCTTGGGCGGTGTGGCTGGAGCACTTGCTGGTGAAGACTGAGGTAAAAAAGTCATTGAGTACCTCAGCCTTCTCCATGTCGCAGGTAACCAGGTCTCCCGTTTCCTTCTGGAGAGGGACCACATTTTCCCTAGTCTTCCTTTTATCACCAACACACCTCTAGAAACTTTTCATGTTGAACTTCACATCCCTGGCCAGATTTAATTCCATCGGGGATTTGCCTTCCTAACCTGATCCCTGGCTACTCAAAAACAATTTATCTGTATTCCTCCCAGGCTATTTGTCCTTGCTTCCACCCTCTGTAGGCTTCCTTTTTGTGTTTGACTTTGTCCAGGAACTCCTTGTTCATCCATGCAGGCCTCCTGGCATTTTTGCCTGACTTCCTCTTTGTTGGGATGCATCACTGCTGAGCTTGGAGGAGGTGATCCTTGAATATTAACCAGTTTTCTTGGGCCCCTCTTCCCTCCAGGGCTTTATCCCATGGCTCTCTACCAAGCAGATCCCTGAAGAGGCCAAAGTGTGCTCTCCTGAAGTCCAGGGCAGTGAGCTTGCTGTGTGCCCTCCTCACTGCCCTAAGGATCTTGAACTCCACCATTTCATGGAGCCAAGGCTGCCCTTGAGCTTGACATTCCCCACCAGCCCCTCCTTGTTGGTGAGAACAAGGTCCAGCATAGCACCTGTCCTTATTGGCTCCTCTATGAAGTGGAGAAGGAAGTTGTCATCAATGCATTCCACGAACCTCCTGGATTGCTTATGCCCTGCCGTATTGTCCCTCCAACAGATATCAGGATGGCTGAACTCCTCCAGGAGGACCAGGGCTTGTGAATGTGAGGCTGCTTCTACCTCTCTATAGAGGGCCTCATCAGCTGGGTCTTACTGGTCAGGTAGCCTGTAGCAGACCCCCACTATATATATGTGTTTTCTAAATAGATAAAAAGGTTTGAAAAAGAAGTTGTATTAACATTTTATAATAGAAAGTATCTTGCAACCACGAAATAGCTACTTTCTCCCTTGAAATATGTATTTCACTGTAATGTAATTACTACTATTGAAGTTTGATAAGAGACACCACCTAAGAAAACATAGGATGATAAGTAATAGCAAAGGCTGACTTATTGAGCGGCACCAAATAAGCACATCAGTGTCACTGGTTTTGTACTGAGACCCTTTAACTCATCTCAGTAGCACTTGAGTCAGATTATCCTACGTAGAAAATAAAAGGTCACACACAGAATATGCAAAAACATAAGAAAGGACTATGCAAACATGTTATTACAAAGGACTCATTAAATGCCCTAGAGTTTCGAAATTTTTTTACTAAAGGAAAAAATGAGCTTTTTTTCTATAAAGCCAGTGTTTACTTCTACTGTTCCAGCACACTAACACACAATGCTTTTTAAAGTACTGTACATGACCTGCAACATGATCCTTGAGGAATGAAAGGAGATCCAAGAGCTGAAAAGGGCTGCAGGGAAGCAGACACTTACAATTCTGCAAATACTGTACAAGTATCTTATTTTCCACATCTGGGATCAAGTCCTCCTTGAAGAGCACCAGAAAACTGTATCTGAGCTTCCAGGATGTAGCATTACACTAATTTTGCATGTGCCTAACACATTCCACAGGCATGGTCCAAAAAAAAGGTTCATGGTTCATGACACTGCCCAATGGGAAGTAATTCATTCTGCTTTACTTACAGCATTCAGCTTCTCAGTATGTCCTTGCATGCTACATATCCTACCAGACACTATATTCGTGGCCATTTTAATACTCTGGTGAGTGACTGATTTAAAGAAAACAAAACGAACAAACAAACACAAAAAATCAGTGGTGTTTTTTTTTTAATCTAATTCTAGGAAAACACAGACCTCTTGTGGCAACAGGAGGATACAGTCATTTCACAGCATCGCTACCCATAAATACAATTAACATACATAAATGCAGCAAATAATGCCAGGATAGTGATTTTCTTAAAAATATCCTATTTCCCTTCCCCATTCCCACCCCAGAAAAAAAAATTACCATAGAACCTGTGGAAATTTTAGGATATTACACCTAAAATGCTGTATAGTTTCTAAATAAACACATCCCTCATGCACTTAACTGTTCTAATGGAAAGACTTTAAATTAAATGCAAGGATTACTAGCATACCTTACAGAAGCTCTCAGGACAGTAAAACTTTCTGCACCTCATACGTTACAATTAATGTAAATACTTCAGCATGTCATAAATTCTCAGCCAAAAAAAAACCCAACTCCCTAAAAATTTCACTTACTTTCATTTCCTAGGGAAAAATCAGAAACAACTCCCAAAATGTTTGGTTGTTTGTCCTCCTGAAATTCCCCCATGGTGTTCATAACCTTCATAACAACAGACAAGTTTGTCTGAAGAAGGGATGTTATGGATGCCTCAGAAGTGAGGGAGCTAGAGTTGAAGGACTCATTCAGCATGTGTACACATGCCCAACAGTTTCCTGCATTTGGCCAGAAGCCTCATGACAAAGGCCAAAATTAACTTTCATATATCCACACCAACCTCACTGGCCACATAATGCAGGTCTTTACAGAGGCTGTTTCTCAACAGCAGATGCCATATGCTAATCTATTTTTTAATTGTTCAGCAGTTCTTTCTCACTCTTTGTATTGAGATCTGCAAAATTTCTGAGGCGCTAAGCTTCAGTCAACTCAAATGGTCCTAATGGACTTCAGTTTTCACAGTACTGGTCCCTCATTTTATACTTTTGTATATTTTGTACATTTCCAACCTTTCAAAAGATATAAAAGAGCTACTGCTTTTAAAAAAAGCAACACACAGTTTATTACTCAACATTCACCACTAGCAATGTCCTTGAAGAGCACAGACTGCTTGGCTAGAACGTGGAGCCAGCAAGTTATCACCCTACACAGGAATACCCAGCTCATCTCGATATTTAGCGGAACTAAGAAAAACCCATTTTCTCCCACCTACTTTGGATGTGCAAGTTTGTTTTGAAGAGGATCATCTCAGTTTAATCCTCCCAGAATGTAACTTGACTGCTAGATTTGTTTTAGTCTGCGCATGAACCCAACACATGTGTGCATATTAGTACCCACTCATGACAAAAATAAAAGTTATTTCTCAGCAATAGCTTATGCATGACCAGCAAAACCACAGGCACAAAGGCAGCATCCTGGTTCTGGGTATGCAAACTGCTTCCCTAGCAGAGAGGACCAACTTTGGCTAGGTTAAGCTGTGTTATTATTGTTCTTGGGAAGCCTAGACTTACAGATATTTAGAAAAATCCATATGCTGCACTGCAGTGCACCGCACAGCCTCAGTTCCGTTAACTGACTGCAGTTCAATGCCAGCAATGCACCAGAAAGGAGACAGAAAATTTCTGACTGGACATATATCCCTTTTGTCTGTGACTAGACAAACATTACTGGGTGCTGTGCTGATGTCTGTAGAGTACCATTGTAATTAATTTAACCAGGGAAGGTTTTACTCTGTGAAGCAAGTCTGCCCTTCTGCCAGCAGTCTCTGCACAGGGCAGGGTGTCTTGTGTTGTGGGCATCTGCAGATTATCACAGACTACCTGCTGTCACTGTGAAGCTGCACAATACTACCCCTATCGCTGTTTAAAAATTATGTCTTTTCTCATGTGAAAAGGCTAAATACACAACACAAGGTTATGATAATCTTTACAGCAAACCATCTTCCCTCTGCAATGCACAACTAAATATGTAAAATTAAATGCATGTTTTAGGTGCCACCAATTTGTAAACTGCATCATGCAGCACTAGGGATGATGTAGCCTCAAAATAACCTGCTTAGCTTTTTTCAAACCTATTCCTAAATATCTTCTCTGTCTTGACGCCTCTTAGCTGGTTTACTGTGACCACAGGTTCATTAGCTGACCCATATCCATTTTGTTCTGCTTTTCAGAGTCACCCGATTTGTTTTCACTCATCAGATCTCAGATTGGAAGCCTTTACATGTGGGGACTTTTTGGCTTACATGGGCACAGTATCCATAATGAATTGGTTCTGATTACTGAGTGCTCTTATTATAATACAAACAAATAACAATCCTATAAATAAATAAATCTGAAGAAGCACTGACACTGAAGTGACAGTAGTGACTTTTTTCGAAGATCATAAGATTAAAAAGCCAGCTATGGTTATTAAGAGCAAAAGGTAGCATCAGTCAACAATTTTTAAATTTTCCTCAGGAAGGGGGGGTGGGGGTGGGGTGGGCAGAGTTAGCATCAAGTTACCACGTCTTTTTTTTAGCCCATGGTATCATACAGTAATAACTTCAGTGTCTGCACTAATATTTTTATGACTGCTAACACCCTAGGTTTTCACAGATTGCATTGTATTATTCTTATCAGGAACTTTTAAAGAAAGGAATATTCCTGTTTCGTATCATAAATATCCAACACGTAGTCAATTCTCTAATTAAGTGCCAGTGAGAATGCTGCTCTTTTCTCTCATCCCATCCCAGTGGGAATCCAGAGAGGAGCAGGCAGCAGACTACACATCAGCAGGTCTGACCCTTCGGTACACTTAGTGGCAAGAGGCACAGGGTCTGAAGGCTGTGAAAAGACAACAGTGAGATGTTTGCACCCTCATCATCACTATTCTTGTTATTTTTCCAAGCTACACTATTCATTAACAGTCTTGAAGATGACCTAGCAAACAACACTAAAACACAACAACAATCCAAGTGCAAGCCATCCCATGCCACAAGCCCTTTCAGTCCAAGAGACTTAATGTATCTTTAAGATCAAAAGAAAGCTCAGTCAGCCCTCTAGATAAACTTTACAACAGCAGAAGATGTTCCTCATAATGACTAGCATCTCCCTAAATACACATTACCCACGTACTACCTCCCTTCAGTAACGTTAATTTATTTAAATCCCATGACCACCATTTATTATATTGACTATCCCACCAGATACAAACTTAATACTCTGTTAATGAAGGTGCATTAAATGGTATCAGGTTAGAAATAATTTTAACATTTCAAAATGTTGACAAACATACCCGAAGAATTCTGTTAACTTTTATAACAGGAGCTTCATCATTTACTGCAGTAACTGTTACAAATACAGTTTGGGGCAAACTTTGTTTCCACAATTCTGTGTTATTTACTATCACAGTAAAGCTGTCCATCCGTTCCTCGCTGTCATCGTGAACATAGTAGATTAATTCTTGTTCCACCTGAAAAATATAACAACCTGAAAAATTAAAATGGCTAAAAGAAAATGAATGCCATATTAAAAAACCACAAATATTCAAGTGTAGTCAAGCCCCTCTGTATTTATTGCCTCAACTGTTTATGACTTCTAAGACTTTATTTATGCTCCTATCTGATCTGTACCTCTATCTTTGTTCTGTCCACAACAGCAAATTTTACAGCTCATCTGTCCATTCCTCTAGCCAGAATATCTTATTTTGCCAGTCTTGACATTCCCCCTTCCTCCTGAAAGGAAAATAGAAAATCCAGTCCCATTATATTTACCACAGTTTTTCCTGGAATCTATAAACTGAACATAGTATTAGTAGATGATGACTTATGACACAGTTTTGCTTCTTAGAGCTAAAAGACTGAAAATTAGCTTATCATGCACACACTGGCTCTCTGTGAGCAAAGACATGACCTAAAAAAATAATTTTTTTCCACTTTCCTCCTTGATCAATCTGCACACCATTTCCTCTGGTCTTTTCAAAATGTACCCGCAGTCTTGTCTGTCTTAGGTTTCCAGACCATCAACAACTCTGCCTACGTGTGAGTGGCCCATCAGTCTAGTGTGATTATAGCACATTAGTCTGTGTGATCAGTGAAACACAAGGAAGTGATGTGGTTCACCACAACAACAAGGCACCCTCCCTCCCCACCCCAAATGACCAGCTAGCAACTGCAGAAAGATCTTTGGTACAAGGCCAGAATAAAGCTCAAACGCATGCATCGCACCACCTCCCACCAAATCATCCCATAGCTTTTAGCAATACAAAGAATTAATCATGACTACAGCAAAGCAGATCTAAGTGCATTACCTGTTTTCTGGTAAATGTGGTTAACTTCATTCCAGGAACACGAGAGTCTTCAACAAACCCATGTTTTGGCTGCTCAGTTAAAATAAATTCACAGCTGAGTCCTGCAAAGTGTCTACTAGAAATTTTTAGATAGTCTTCCTTTAGGGCTTTTGAGCCCCCTTCAATTACTGTGAAGTTCTGTACTTCCAGTGGAATCATCCTGGGGATGATGTCTACAGAGATGTCTATTCCACTCACTGTTCGGACACCATTAGTCACATCCAGAGAAAAACGGTCATCTAGTTGGTCAGAAACTGTCTGCACATACTGAACTTTGCCCTCATCAACATCTTGCTGTGTGAAGCTCAAAACTGGCCTTTGGTCAGCACCGAGATAACTTTCTTCTGAGGAAAACTTCCGAATGTATCCATGTAATGGAAGCTGTCTTACTGTGAACACTATCTCAGATGGAGAACTGTTTTCATGAACAACCTTAAATTTAAAAACATACCCCAAAATTATTTAAACAGAAATGGGAGAAATTCTATAATTCTCTTCTGAATTCTTCACTTTTAACCCTGGGATTATCTTCCTAATTAACTGGCATTCCACATTTGGGTTACACAGTTCCTAACACAATACAATACTTTAAGTAGACGTTAAATAAACACATCATGGGAGTGTTTTGTAAATTTTGAAAAGGAACACACTGTGGAATTAACTAACAGCCTAAGAACTGTAGACCCCTGCCTGAAACAACGATTTCAACAGCACAGCCATGTGCTGCCAGAGTACCCTCACAGCGGTTACTGAAAGGCTACACACAATGGGAAGGAAAGTATTAAGCAAAGACAAATGACCTCAGATTTGTGACTTGGTGGTTTTAAAATTTTGGATGTAATCCTCAGTGTTAATCGGGCTAGCTCCAAACTGAATGAAACAAACCCCTTTCTTCCTTGGCACTTCCCACCAGCTCAACTAAGAATGATACATGAAGTACCAACAACTGTCACAACTAAAACTAACATACAAATGCAGCGTCTCAAAATCTTAACTTTCTCAAGCACCAATATGCAATGGAGTCAAGGAATATAGGCAGCCATCTTCTTTAACATAACCAGTTTTCCTTTCTAGAAATGGAAGCTTGCTAGTGTCAGTCTCTCCAGAATTAAGCATCCAGAATGCATTCATGTTAGTGAGAACTAAAAGAAGTTAAAGAAGAGAGAGACTAACCACACTGCAATGGCTGAGAAAGCAGTGAAGAAAACTTGCTACAAGATTGCAGCAATGGACAGCACAGTTAACTTACTTGCAGTTTTCCTTTACTGATTTTAACTGGTTTTCCTTCTTCAACCAAGAGATTGTTTTTGTTCACAATCCTTGGTGGCCACTGATGACCTTCCAAATATATGCGAACATGCACTCCAGCATCCAGATGGACTTCTCTAGCATGGACTGTAAAGTTAAATGTGTCAATAAGGTTGTTGCTGTCATCATGCCTGTAGGTCACATACCCCTTTATCAGATCAAACTGAGTAAAGGAATCCATCAATAGATTATTTACATATATTCTTCCATATTTTGGGAAAGAGAATATCTCATATGTAAGCTCATGATCATTTCTTATGTCTTGGTTTGTAATAGCACTTAGGTTAGCTGTTGTAACAGTTTCCTCTTTTCCTTTTTGAACCAACAAGCCTGTATTATTTGCCAACCTAACATAAGGATCAGTGGCACTAACTTCTAGAAGCAAAGAGGTATAGTGCTTGCCATCCGTCACAAAGAGCACAAAACGCCCAAAATCTGCACCATGGTGTTTAAACAGGACTTGCTTTTGCTCCAGGTCCACTTGTTTGAATTGGTAGAGTCTGTGCAAAGTATCATTTGTTAGCACCAAGTCCCCATTGGAAATGCCACGTCTAGTATATAGCAACTGTCCATCATCAAAATCAGAATCAGGATCATGATAGCAAAGATCTGCCAAAGTTAATAATCGCTGCCCATTTCTCACTATGTTAAACATCTTATCAATTACACGTACTGGTTTCTCATCATTCTTCAGCTGGACAGAAATGTTGAATCTAATTTCTACTGACAAAGGTTCTACTTCTGGATCAAAGTTTGCCAACTTTCCTGACTCTTCACTGGAAGCTCTGACAACAAATTCATCAAATGCTGTCTCAGAATCATCATGCACATACATAAGGCGCTTATCAGTTATATCTTTGTTAGTGAAAGTGGTGAGATTATCATTATTCTTGAATGAGGCTGAAAAATTAATCAGTTTTAATTTCCCATGCTTAGGAAACTGTGCAACTTTATATTGGAAAGTTTTATTATCCAGTGTTTGCACAAACAATTTTGTGCTTGTTATTAACTCTCCTTCACCTTCAGTAACAGTAAGGCCATTGTTAGTCAAAATAATGTTTCTGAAATCTGATTTGATGTAGACTTCAAAGTCATATACATTTGATTCCAGATACTTTGTAGAAATGAGGAATCTAAACGAATCACGGTTGTCTTCATGGTATCTGCTGATTACTTCATATGCCACTTTTTGATCAGTAATATCTTTCTGGCTAAAGACGGAATCTTTTTTCAAAGGCTGGTCATTAAGCAGTATCTGTCCATTCTTTGGTAGGGACAGCAATTTAAAATGAAGCTCATCTTCAGGTATTTCTAGATCCACAATCACAGCAAAAAGATTATCTGAATTCAAGTACTTCCTTTTTGTTTTTTCAATTTCTAGAGGAGCATGTTTCAATAAACTGTACCTTAACCATTTCACTTTGATTGGAAACACATGCTCTTCACTGATTCTGTTTCCTATGCTAACTTTGAATTTAAATTGGTCAGTAACATTTTCCAGCTGAATTTCTTTGAAAGTGCTACAGTATCTCACACGGCTGCGCTGAACAGAGCGTTGAGAAAAAGAGTTGACTTGCTTCCATTCCCCCCTTGAATGCTGCCTTTGAACTTCCCCAAACTGGGGTGCCTCTGTGATCTCATACCGTATCTCCAGCTCCTGGAGATTAGCATTTGTTTCAACTGCCAGATGCCTAGGTGTGATCAGAGCTGTAACACCTTGACGTAGTTTTATTCCTGAGTTATTGACAACTCTGTAATCCAAAGGAACTGCCATAACACGTAATACAACAGTGTTGCTCACCTTCTCACCATCACTTGCCCTCAGAACAATCCTTGAGTTCTTGACACCTGTGTGGACAAAGAAAACAGTGCCTCCTCTTAAGTCCTCATTAGAAAAAGTAGTAATAGCTTTTCCAGGATGCTTTGAATTTTCTAAAAATCCTGCATCTGCATTCAGATTTCCAAGTACTGAAAGACTGAGACCCGCAGGATCTGTATCCTTATCTAGAACTTTTATCAGATCATTAGTCAAACGTTTCTTTGAGTTCTCTAAGAGAAGAAGCAAGTTTCCCTCAGGAAGCGTGATCTCAGGCGCATCATTTACTGGAGTGACAGTAATGTGAAACACATGCTGCTCATTTCCTTGCAAATATGGAGGTACAATCTTCTCACTGCTGGTAGAAATGGAGAAATTAAAACAATCGTAAGTGTCCTCAGAGCCATCATGGACATAAATAATCTTCCCTTGCCACACATCCTGCATAGTAAATGTATTTACCTCCTGCACTGGTTCAACATCTAGTTTCAAGTCTCCATGAGAGGGTGGTTCCTTTATTTCAAAAAGAATTTGTGATTGATGAATCCCTAATTTCTGAAAGTCTATATTGCCTTTAATATGTTTAGATTCGAGTGAAGCTTGTCCACCCTCTGGCACAATCAAGTTACTTAGAACTAAGAGGTGGCTTTTGTCTTCCTTGCCCAGAGAGACAGAGTTTTCAGGGGAAATGGCAAATGTTGGGGCTGCTTTCACAGTAGGGCTCTTTAAAGCCATCTCTAAAGAAAGATTTGTATTAAAAGCAGTCTTCGTTTCACATCCAGCTGATATGTCCTTTGTCACCAGAACATTCTTCAGTGATTTCTTTTCTGAATTGGTTTTCAGGTCTCTTAAGCAACCTTTGAAGGATCCTCCTCTGGCATACTTCCCAGACACCGAGATTAGCTCTAACTTAATCACTTCTGACCGTGTACTGTCATCTATACCACCTACAAAGAGAGACCCCTTCAAAAGCGGCAGCTTGCTGTGGGGAGGCAATGATTTTTTCACAGTTTCTTCATCCAATGTCAGCTGCAAATATTCTGCAGTAAATTTCAGTTTGATGTAGTGCCAATGACTATCATTGACTGACCTATGAGAGGAAAGCTGGGTTCTACTTTTATGGTTTCCAACATAGGCTTTAATTAATCCATCTTCCATTTCCATTGCAATGAAATCTCCTGCTTGCCCAGGATGGTAAAGCAGCAGGCCACGTGCAGCTGAGGTTTGCAATTTATACTCCAGGATTCCCTCATCATCAACATTCCATGATGGGAAAGAAACATAGGATCTGGAACTGAAGAAACTAATGGGTTCATCTTCATCTGCAAAGAATTCATCACTGCATCCCACCAAAACTTCATGGACATTTTTAAAGCCAGGAGAAGGTCTCAGAGGCATCAGAATGTCTAGCTGATTGAACAACACATCATCAATACATCCTCGGAAACTAGGTAGCGCTCCAACAAGGTAGGGAACATCAAGTTTACTAGTACCACCTATGTAGAATCCATAATCAATATTTAATTCATAGAGAATTCCAGGCATTTTTGCACTAGTTCTATCATGTTTATCAATTACCAATGTGACATCATCATGTTCATGACGTAGTTCAACCAGGTGCCAAGCTAAATCATTCAGCTGAGATCTTTGCTGAGAATGCAGTACTTGTTCCCCCATGCCAAAGTTAATTCTCAACTGCAAGAGACAGAATTTTAACTATCAAAATCCAAAGTGGTATTTTTCATAATCAATATATTAAGATATATTTAATACATTAATTTTCATAACTTTTCATATTAAGCACATAATTTACAAAATATAATTGAAAAAAAAATCCCACTAAAATTTTGTGTAGGTTTACTTGCCATCACAAATATGACTTGAATAATTGCAGAAGAGGGAATAGACTCCTCTGCAGTTCTGCTAGGACCAACAACTCCTGAGAACCCAAGTGACAATGATCTTTCAAGAACTTACCTTGCAGAAAAACTATTGTTTGGATCCAAACATTTTTTATGATGCTAACATCATCAAATCTGAAATTTTGCCTTTACTGAACCCCATGCTTTGAACACAATGATCTTGATTTTAAGATCTAGAGATCAAAAAGGCTTTTAGAGGCTGATTTTAATAACTAGCATTGTAAGAAATAAAGACCATCTTTTGAAATTATCAATTGTATTATGTGATTTTTCCATTTTTTAAAAAAATAAACTTTCAGAATTGTTATAGGTAACAGCTTAAAGGAAAACACTAAACAACACAGGCTACACATATCTTTTTAGCTATAATTATAAACCATACCTGTAAATTTCCTGAGCGTAGCTCCATTAAGCAATAATCCTTCTTCCCAGCTGCAAGAAAAAGCAGTCCATGTGGCTTGCTTGTTCGAAACCGCAACTGTAAGGATGTCTGAGAGGATGCTTCTGCCATGTTCAACTCCACAAAGCTATCACCATAAAATGATACTGAAAGAAGGAAAGGAAAACAAACAGGAGATGTAGTCACACAAAAAAATACCTTTTTCTTATCTACAGCTAAATATATATAAAAAAACTTATATTAACTCTCTATATACTTATTTAGGTATCAATGAAAATAGATCTCAGATATCAAATTCACCAGTCCAAGCAACTGGGTAAGAGCCCAGTGGCCACACCAGTATGGATAAGCAGTAAATATAGCCCAATATTCTACTTCCGACAGTGACAACAGGGAATCCTAAGAACAGTGCAATCATATTTAATACTTTCCTTCAAATACTCTTCCAATTATTTTTTTGTTTCAGGTGTTTTCCTGAGCTTGCCACAGTTAGTCTATTTTGTAACTGCCAAAGGATTTCTCTCTGAAGTACTCCTTTATTTCCTCTTTGGAAACATCTTCATCTTCAACATGCTCTTCTATCTCTGTCAGAGACATCCTTTGTCATCTCTGATGAGAAGACCCACAGGTCTCCTGCCACCTGTGTGGTTCTTTCATATGTTCTCATCCATCTCTTTTCCAGGCTGAAGTGCCCTCTTGTTTCCTGTATGCAGCCTCCAACCACCTCTGCTGCCCTGCTTTGCAGTCACTCAGTTCTGTACAGGCCACCTTCACCCTCTCCTCTCCTCTTTTCTGCCTTGAAGAACAGTAACACCAGCAAACTTTCTCATTTGACTACTCACTGGCTTTACCATCCCCATTATTACTGCACTGAATAGCACAGATCCCAAGACCAAATCCTCAAGAACTCTGCTGGTTAACTTTCCTCCTACGCAAAAAAAGAAAAATATAAAAAAAAAAAAAAAATCAATCATTTACCCGTCCTCCTATCTTTTAATCCATTACTTAATATACAAAGCCCTGCATTCCTACCCAATGGCTGCTCAAAAGCCTTTGATGTCAAACTCTACCAAAAGCCTTTTGGGAATCTAAATCTTAGTCATCTTCCCCACCCCCATTAAGAAAACTCCAAGAGGTTTGTAAAGCAGAACTTATCTTTAAAGAAATCCTACTGACTCTTCCTAAGTTGATCCTACTTACTTCTGCATGTTCTATCCTTTGTAACACTACCTATATATTTGAATGGTATGGATGTCAGGCTTACAGTCCCCTGGTCATTCCTGTTTTAAACTTTGGCATAACATTTGCCACCCACCAGGCTTCAGGTACCCAGGGATTTTAAAGCATGAGATCAGACATTACCCTTAGCAAGTGAGCAATTTCATCACTGCGTTTTTTTAGGTCAACCCCTCTCGTTCCCCCCCAAAAAAATATATTTCAGTTTGGGACTCCTCCCAATTAGCAGTAAACACCATTTCGTTTAGCTTCTCTGTAGTAGCCATGCCCTTTCTGAGTGCTTCTTTTATACTGATAACTTAATCAACTGGCTGCACAGACCCTCTGCAGGGTTTTTGTTCTTGATGTATTTAAGAAGGATTTAGTAAAAGATTTGTTTCCTTCAGCTAGCTGATCCTTGACCTTTGGTTTTTTTCAGGCCTGTCTATTTTCACATTACATCTGCCAGGGTTTATGATGCTTCAGCTGTGTTTGGACACAGCTCTTTAAGGATGCCACCAGTTAAATATTTATTTTGCAGCTTTTACCTTCATTCTGAGACAACTTTCTCATTTTAACACAGTTCTTTTCAAAATTAAGCGTAACTGCAGGGGACTTTTGAGGTTTAACTGTTGCTGGCTCTACATTAGCTGTCCCTCTGCTGAATCTAACACGCTCTGATGACGCCTACAAAGTGTAACTTTAACTCAGACTCTGAACTGAGTCTGCACATTTCAGAGTACCAAATCAAAGGTCTTGTTAACCAGCCGTTTCATGAAACAATCATTAATAGTATCTAAAAACTTGCTGTAATATACATAAAAATTGTATGTGGCTTTCCCAAGAATAAGATTTCAACAAACCCCACAGCCAAAAGCTATGTAATAGTGTGTTATATTAAATACCCAGAGAAACACAGGAAAGATTTTTAGATTACTGAAGTACACATATTTCTTGCAAAGGAAGAGTCACCACTGTGCATAGAAAAATTGGTTCCAAGCTGAACAAAAAGGAATTCTTCCCCACCAGTTTACTTCTAGCATAAAAGAAGCTTTCACCAAAGAGCTCTAATATATGTTACAGGTCTTCCATAAAATCTATACAGTAAGAGAACCAGTGTGTTTGTTGTACATAGAAATGTTATTACTGTGGGGTTAATAAAGAAAGATCTCCCTTTTAAAGCAAGTATTGGAATAACAGAACTAGAGACAAACCCCTAATATAAGTGAGGACTGAGTTTTACTAATAAGCCAAGAAGGAGGTTAAATGTTTATAATTTTTATATCATGGCAAATTCATATTATGGCAGTCGCTAGGACTGTCACTAATGTATCTACTGTACAGATGGACTATAGGAGATTGACCCTACCCTAGAGAGCTTTGGTCCCAATAACACAGGTAAGGGAGTCCCCTGACCTCCATTTCAGCAAATGAGCCACATAGATACTGTCTTCCTGAAGATCACAGGAGGCATAACATAGCTGTCTGAAATAACCTGTTGTAATCAAATGATTACTCCGTTTCCTTCAGCCATTGTAGTAACATCAGAATATCAATATAATGTTATGGGTACAAGGTTTCACCTCAAGCAGACCCTTCTCCTCACCCTACTGAGACTCCAAGAAGCAGTTACATTCGTTTTGGTACATTACATCCTAGTACCCCTACAGAACTGGCAAGTAAGAGATGTCATTATAATTTTACCAGTCAAGTTCCTCAGAAATTAACAAATGAAGATGTTAATGTCCTGAAAGTTTCTTTATGAGCACTGTAACACAGCCCCCAAATTTCATTGTGAATTCCTGAATCAAAACTAATGACTGCTGAAGGAACCGGAAAATAACTTTTAAAGACATCATATTTTCATTAGACTCAAGTATGTGCGGAAGAAACATTGGATTTTGGGGGAAGCAATTGAGCAGAAAGATAAACTTATCCATGGCTTATTAAATGCAATTTAGAATAACTAGAAATGAAGTTGCAGAATCAATATTTTGTAGTGTGCCACTGGTGTTTATACTATACATTAATTTCCTGGAAAAGAAAAAAGAAACATAAGTTAAAGCTTTTGCCTTCCATAAAACACTTCAGAGTCAGAATCCATCACTGAAGGTGGGGCAGGAAGCTCAGCATCAGCCTAGGCACTGATCCAGCACTAAATGAGATCTTGGGCCAAGACCACCTACACTGCCTTGGTGTGATTTCTGCTTCAGTACCCACCAAACTAAAAAGCATGTTACTATAATACAGGAATCAAGTTCCTCTAGAGCAAACACTTCTGGAATGATTTCTGGCTGAAACTGTGTTATGAGTGACTTCAAAATTAATCTGGTGCCACAGCTTTTGAAAAGGGGACATTTTGTCATGGACCATCTGATGTTAACCATACCATTATGGAAAGTAAGTGACATTCAACCAACAATACCAGCCTTGAAGCTCCCTTGGCACTGGAACAGGCAAATTCAACACATCATATAGGGAACAATTCCTCTGGAGTACCTGGGCAGACAAGCTATTCTCTAACAGCTCTATGCCTCAACATGAAAAGATGGGTGGAAGCACCTGAGAATAACAGCCAGATGTACATCAGCTATAATGTCCCTTCATGGACATAGACACATATACACAAAGGCTCAAAAAAATAGAGGCATAATCACATGGAATGCCAATTTAAACATCTGTTCAACCTGAGTTACTGGCTAATTTGTGGTCCTCATCTCTTCCTTCTCCCTTAGAGCCAACCCTCAAGTCTGACTAGAAGTACCACACTGGGGTTACAAATCCTTCCTAATATTTCCATCATAGCAGGTAACATTTATATGGGAAGTGTAAGTTTTGAGAATTTTGTTTCAAGTAATTTTACTGAAGATTCCAGCTCTGTCCACAGGTTTCTTACAAGTAACCATGAGAAACCAGGCCAGGCACAGCAAAAGCCTTCACAATCACAGAGCAAAAGGTTCCTCACTAGTCATCTAGTGGTGGCATTATGCTGGTATTTTATCCTTTTGTGCAGCTTTTATTCTCCAGTGTTAAAAATATCATCAAATTCAACAAACAGCTACACCTTGAATAATTTTTCTCTCGGTTTCTGTGCTCAAAGCGCAAAGCAATAAAAGCCTTGTCTCTTCCCCACTGCCAAAACTAACTCCCTAGAAATGTATGTACAAGAAACCAAACTGGGACTTACTACACAGTTATCATGAGCTACACACATCCATCCAACAACAAAACCTAGACTAAAGAGCTAATCGAAGGAAGGGATTTTTTTCTTTTTTCCCATTTTTTCTGTCAGTATTTCTCATTTCAGACTAGATTATGAATCTTCTCAGCAATGCACAGGCATCATAAGGAAGAACAGTGATCTTGGAATCACAATTCCATGCTCACTTCTTAACTGGAAGTAATTTAATGCAGACTTCATGTCTGGTCAACTCCTTTTGGTCTCCACTGTGGACAGCCAAAGCTCCACATACCTCAATCCTTTCCTTCTTCGGATCCCTTTTACACCTTCTTCCCAAAGACAGTCATATGGAAAGGCTTTCCCTACTGTGCCTGAACAGTAACCCAGAAAGACTTCTATACTCATGTAATCCATAAAGGTTTTTACATTCACAGATGAAAAAGAGGGACATTTTACCAGATCCGTCCCCTGCCTTTAATATCCACCCTTTTACATTAAAAAAAAAAAAGAAACACATAATTTGATCTTCAATCAGGAAAGAAAAATTATGTAGTTCCCATGTAAGAGAGTATTTGGACAATGTTTTTGTCTTCAAAATGTTCAGGAGGTATCAGTGCCAGGGCCCTTTAAAGATAATGCTTTGGCCAGAAGCCTATAGTGTAAGGAAAAACAATGTAGGTAACACTTAAAAGTATATTCAGACATCCTGAATCCTTCTGATGTAGACAAAAACATTTGTTTACTTTTAATATCCAATATATTGATCTTCTGTTTTCCACACTACAGTAAATGTCATAATTAGGCCACAGAATTACTGCTGCTCAGGCAGACTGTTCCCAAACCATTTCAAGCCTGCTAATTTGCTTGAAAACAACTATATATGACTTGTTGTTGGGGGGGGGAGGGCAGGGAGTGAGGCAGTGGGGGGAGTCATGCAATCTATTACACTACTTAGTCACTAAAGATAAAATCATAAAAGTAAAGGATTAAATCTAACAGGGCCCATGTATTTTCAGTCAGGATCCTCTCCAAACTTCAGAACTGCCATACCAGGAGGTTTGGTTGGCTTTTTTGCTGTCAGCTGCAAAGACAAGAATCACTTCTGTGCCACAGTAACTCCTCAGCTGAGACCACAGTTCTTGCAGTGGCCTCACTAATAATCTGTATCAGTGAGCTCTACAGGCTGGCTGTATAAAAAGGA